ACACACACACACCACACACACACACACACACACACACACACACACACACACACACACACACACACACACACACACACACACACACACACACACACACACACACACACCACACACACACACACACACACACACACACACACACACACACACACACACACACACACACACACACACACACACACACACACACACACACACACACACACACACACACACACACACACACACACACACACACACACACTTGTACCTTAGCTGACAAGATATAACCTGGCACTGTAGTTCACAGCCGCAGGTGATTTCCTCCCCTCTGCAGTGTAGACTAACTCCAGGTCCGGTGTTTTAGTGTTCTCCAAGTCTATGAACATAATGGAATTGGTTCAGAGTTTGAGGGAGGGATTATGTCTAGATGTGCAGGATTATGCCAATAGATTTTTTCTAACAGCACAGAGGTGTTAGAATGGATGTTGCATCACAGGAACCCTAAAGCTGCCTTCACATGATCAGCGGTAAAACAGCTCTGCATTGCCGTTGTGTTTCTATGGAGATGAGGCTGAAGAGCTACCCTTGGCGTCACCCAATGCTCGTGATTGTTGCTGAGCACTGCCCTCAAAGTTGATGTGAGGTTCGCTCCCCAAGGACAGAAGAACACAGGAAATCACTTTTCTTCTTGTCAAGCTCATTCTGAATGCCGAATGCGAAAGTGAAGTGATGCAAAGGCCTCTGGGAATAAAACCATTCAGTGAACTCTAATAGGGCCAATCTCCTTCTTTGTTTCACCTTAAAAGTTAGTTAGAGGAGCCAACCTGACTCCCAGAACTCTTTTAATGCTTCATGGTCAAACCAGACCATGATAACCCGGAACCCTCAAAGTTCAAATTATTTTATTGTTGACCTTGATTGCTGCTTAACTTTTGTCGCGCATCCAATCAGATAACAGCTGAGTGAAGCGACACAAGCAAGTTGGTGATGTAACCATAGAAACAAAACGTAAGTAGCTGTTCTTGCAGCAAGGCTCTGCGCCCAACCTCACGTAGGGCGAGGAACAAATCACGTATTATGTGAATGCAGCTTAAGAGTTGTGAGATTCATAGCAAATAAAAACCGAAACACAAAAGTGAAGCAGATGTGCGGGCTGGTTGTGGCACACTTGGTTGATGGGCATCAACCAATCAGAGCGTCAGTGCTTAAATCCCAAGCCTTTGCAGTCAATATGTCAAAGTGCCTTGGGCAAGACAGGCTGTGGCTCAGTGGGTTAGTGCGCTGATCTTCAAATCAGGGGATAGCAAGTTTGAGTCCCACTGCAGTCAGCATGTTGTTGTGTCCCTGGGCAAGACCCTTCACCCCAAACTGCTCCTGTGGGGATTGCCCACAGCACTAAATGTATGCAAGTCGCTTTGGATAAAAAGCATCTAACAAGTGACATGTAATGTAATGTAAAGACACAGAAAATGCTCCCGTATGTCTAAGATTTTGAACTCTATGCAAGTCACATCAGCTCAATGACATGTAATGTAATTCATATTCAATAATTAATTTAGTGACCATCTTTCAGCAGGAGCCTTAATCTTACCAATATCAGAATCAGAGTACTTTTTTTATCCAAGTGCAAAATTATGTCTCGTACAGTTGCACCAATTTTTGAATTAAAAAGAATAATATTTATTTAAACAAGTAAAACTGTGCAGTTAAAATCCTTAGCCACTGGTCTCACGCAATAGACAAGAAGCTGGTCCCCCCTGCTACCCAGCTTTCCAAAATCATAATTAATTTAAAAGCTGAAATGTCCAAGACAAAACTGGTGTGAATATGGAGCAGGCCAAGGGGAGAAGGGGTGAATTAGGCACAGACGCCGGGGGTGATTCAGATTCAGAAACGGAGCATAATATGGGTTTAGTGTGTGATTGGAATGAATGGAAGAGGGAAGTGGAGGCCAGGAAGAGACTTTGACAAATGATGACGAATGCCCCGTCCCTCCTCTAACCCCCCCTAATTCTTATCTCCCTCTGCTCTCTCCTACAGACCAACAAGGCCTCGGCTCAGGGGGATTTTCAGGGCGCCAACGCTGCATCTCGCCAGGCTCTGTGGCTCTCCGTGCTCTCCATCGTTTTCGGAATCATAACGTATGTCTGCGCCATCGCTGCGTTGATTTCCTACCTGTCCGGCAAACCCCCTTAAGACCAACTCATTCACAAGAATACACACACAAAAAAAAGATGTACACACGTCACGGACACAACGTATCACCTTTATATGTAATATAATCCGTCCTTGTCCGTCGACCATATCTCCAGTCATGTTTTTATCTGCACCGCGCTTGGAGAAAGACTGGTGCTTAGATTATAATCACTTGTAATTGGATTAGGACATAATTCATCTCAGAGGACATTCTTCGGACGTAAGGAAAAACCCTTGAACACCACTGCATATAGAATTCTGTAAATGTGATTTTTTTTCACTCGCCCGAGGATTTAAGTTCTGCCATCCCTTAAATGTGTACTGTAGTCGTCTTCACGTTAAACATTACTGAATAAAAAAAACACAAAAAAGTGCCATAAAAAGAACAACAACACTGTAGATATCACTGTCTCAACAACGGAAGATAAATGATGAGAGGCAGAGAGAAAAGTATGGGGACATGCAGCCGTGAGCGAGGGGCGGAGTGCGGCGACGGACACTGCAGATTTACGAGGAGGTCGCAGCAAGGACGAGGCGTCTAAATCCTGACGGAGCTGCTGTGGGGTGAAATCTGGGGACAGTTTTTAAGATCCCAGGAGCTTTTTATACGAGGGTCCAGAAGCTACTATCCAATAGAGTGGTGCAGTGATGACTCCAGGAAAATAATTAGCATTTCCGCTTCTGGTTCCATTGTCTAGAAGTCCGTTTTTTTTTATTGTGGTAAGAAGCCTGAAAGAAGGTCTGTGGTTAACACAAGCTGAAGAGATTTTCACGTTTTGTTCCACGGCAATACATCAGTAAATACCCTTCTGGGGAATGTCTGAAGCTGCTATTTGTCATAAAAACAACCGTTGCTAACTAGGGTCTGAATCATAGTGGTCATTTAAACTGGGGAGGCTGGGGACATGTCCTAAACACTTTGCATTAGGATAATTTGTTGCAAATGTTCTGAAAATAGCGTGTTTAAAGAGTTGTACACTTTGGGGTTTATTTGCACAAGAGAGAACATGTACAATCGGGAGGACTGTTCACACTTTTTGGGTACAGTATTCCTGGTAACCCGAGTGGTGCAATTTGGACCAGCGACACGTTTAGTATCAGTAATAATTGAATAGAGCAGCGTAGCATAGTTACTTTACTAGTTGTCAAAAGAAGTATTGTGAGCATATGTTTTTATGTATTGTTTGCGGGGTGCGCTTATCGCAGTAGTGTTTTTTTTAATCGGAAAGAAGTGTCCCACCACTGTTTCAAACAAAATGACGCCCATGGTCTGAATAAACTACTAAACATAATCACTCCGAACATTAGCCGCCTTTAGCTTAGCGGTGGTGATGCGCAGCCATTCGACCTGCTTTAGTTCATTTATAGGCTAACTTTAGCTTTTTCTTTGATTTACATTTTTAAAATCATGCTGATAATATGTGGAGATTATCCTGCTGAACAATAATGTGAAAGTATCAAACGTATTTGCGACAAAGCTTATTTTTTGCAATGTACTGAAATCCAATGGATAAATCCCATTGCTTTTTGTCGAGGGAGCTCTTCCGAAGCCAACTTCCTGGTCTGGCCTACAAAAATACGTCATCACTGCACCACTCAAGGGACCTTCAGGGAACCGCTGCACATCCTGATTTTCACATTCTTTATCACTTGTTTATCTGCAGAAAGGACTGCTTTGTTCAATGCCAATCTTGTGAGTTATCCTTATGTCAGTCGAGCACACACTGACAAAACATACAGTGCAGTTATATAAGATAAATATTAATGAGGCAAATGCAAAGTCGTGATGTGAACCAGCGGCTCTACACAGAAATAAAGGAGCTGCTTCTGTATACAGTGCTGACAAACTGATGACAGAGGCTGCAGACCTGCGAGAAAAAGTGCCAAAAATATGAAAAGAAACTCTTAAAGATGATCCTTCTATGAGTTGTTCCATTAATAGAATCAAGCAAGCTGCCACTCCACGCTCTCTAAATATAGACTGCGCTCGTTTCTCCAATAAAAAAGACGACTGGAATCCTTCAGGAACTTGCCTCTTGCTGAACTTGAAAATGAAGCTGTGTAAGCAAACAGTGTTCAGATGAGGAAAAGGGTAAAAATATAAAAAACTTGTCTGGCAAGACACGCCATGAGTCGGAACGATCTCCATTTGGGTCACGACAGAAACATGCACGGCCAGTTTGTAGTTTGTTAACCTGCTGAAAGCTTCCATCACGTCCTTCTTTTGGACTAAAACAAATCTTTGATGAAAGGAAAGAACTCTGGCCATATTGGTTTGAGCTTAAATGTGCCATTAAAAAAGCTGTGAACCTGAAATAAATATTTTAAAAAATGACTATGGTACAAGTGGACATTTTCTATTTAGATGTATAGTTTTTATAGTCCCTGGCTGAACTGCAAATACTTTGTTTCCTGCAAACCCAGTGTTGTATCAAGACTGAGCTGATGATATATTATGGGTCCTGTATGTGGACACTCCTGTGGTGTCAGTGTCTAACCCTGTCCACAGTGAAGTCAACTCTGACAATCCTCCGTCTCGACTGGACGTAAGAACGAACGAAGGACCCTACTGATTTATGTATGAGAATTTAATGTGGACTGTCATGAGACGGGCTCCAGACAGATTCGTATCACATGTATAGATAAAGGTCAAAGGTTGTGAAAAATGAGATGTATTAATACAAGAGTTCTTGTATAACATGTAAATATTTAACTGAAAGAAAACTTAATGAATCCCAATAAATGCACTTGTTTGACATTCATCTTTGCTTTATTCTTTTGCCCTGACGTCTAAATAGGGAGATCTCACAAAATATCCAAACTCACAAAATCAAGAATATTTTATTTTATAACATCAGCATTTATATTTAAGGAAAAAACGAGTAGGAAAAAGGGAGCTGCAGCTACATCAGAGGTTTTTGGAGTAGCGCCTGCTGACGGAGTCTCTGTAGAACTGGAAGATGTTCTCTGAGGCTTTCTGGCTGACTGCTATACACTGCTGCAGCTGCAGGAGAAGAAACACACATGAATGAGTTAATCAGGTCCAAAAAACCTCTCGTCTTCATCAGACCACGTACAGTGCTGGCACAATAATCTGTCCAACAGATGTGGCAATCACACAGACTTAAATTTGACAATGTTCCACATTAATGTACTGACCTCATGAACTGAAAATGATCCCTTGGTGTATGACATCATCACTCTTTGTTCCTTGCTGTCAATAGCAAAAGTCATCAAAGCTCGACTTTCCTGTTGAGAGCGAGGAAACAGACAAGATCAAATTAACAAATTCAGCGAGGATTGTGACAGAAGTCACTTTTTGAGAAGACATGCAAATGTTGGTCTTACAAATCCAGTGACATTTCACCAATCTGTCAGGTCTACTGTACTCCACAAGTTATTTTTGTTATGATGCATTAAAGGGAAATTCTGTTTGTTGATGTTGGTGCACTTTGGTGTATCTACCATTCCCTCAATAAGCCTGTTTTTCTGTTACATTACATGTTACTTGTTAGACGCTTTTATCCAAAGCGACTTACATACTCAGGAGCAATTTGGGGAGAAGTGTCTCAGGGACACAACGACATGCTGACTGCAGTGGGGTTTGAACCTGTGCTCCCCTGATTCTCCTGATCCGATCACCAACACACAACAAACTAACCCACTGCGCTACACGCCGCCTGTTACACTTCTAAATGTTCACAAGAGTCTAGCAAACAATGAGTTATAAAAAATTGAGTGCTATCAATAGTGTTATTAAGACATAAATGGACTTGAGTAGCCTGGCCTGTAAGAACTACAAGTGTACAATACATTTGTTTGAAGTAGGGATGCAGCAATGTTTCTCAGCCAATAACAAAGTTTGTTTTTTCTCTAGTTATTTTAAGCCAGGGAACACATCAATCTTTATTAAAAGATATGAACTGTTTCTGTTGTTCAGCCCTTCATCACCAAAGCCTTTGGTCTGCTATACAGTCACCAACTGACATGATTCTCGTTGTCCATTATAATCTGTTATTACCCGTCTTTTATCGATGGCATTACATTTTCGTTTATGCATTTATAAATGCATGGGAAATAAAGATGAACAGACTGTACTCACTTTCCATGTTAACACACGAAGCAGATTCGTTTTTTTACCACTGCAGCGACAACTCAAGACATTAAGCACTCGGGCTATTCTGTCTCAACTGTTAAATATGAGCAATACAGTTTTACAAATTAAGTTTTCGCGTATTTGACCGCCGACACCTTTCAGAGTGAACCAGCAGCCCCCCTTCAGACAAAGTTTAGAAGTTGATCAGAAGTCGAAAATGTTTAAACGTTGGATTTCATTTGCTGATCGTACAAAACACTGGTTAATAAATCCTGCAGAGGAGAGGAGGCCTACTGTATATCACTCAAAAAGTTACGGTACACCGCCTTCAGTCTGCGTTCTAACTCTAACCCTACAGTTATTCATAATCTGTTTTAAAATGTTTACCGGGGCGTGTTTCCACAAACCTAAGGCCTTTATACGTATCTAAATAATATACACTACACTTGCTCTTCACTGCCTGACAATGTGGGTCCTTATCAACTGATCTTTTTTCCATGTAGGATTTGTTTTTCTCACCTCAGCTGTGGTTAGCTATAGTAGAGGAACAAACCCCCAGAAAATGTGCAAAATGCTTATTTTGCCATTGCTTATTGTTTCTAGTATTATCTTTATTTGTTCGGACCACGTTTATTGTAATTGGTTATCACTTGGGGGTGGTTTGTTGCTATTTAGGTCACCTGTTGAAAGCCAGTTTGTGGATGACACAGAGGGCGAATTGCTCCAACATTTTATTGTTGACCCTGAGGTCTGGACTTGGTTATGTTTCTTTTGTTTCTTTCTTTGGTGAACTCTGACTATGGAACGTCATTTCTACTTTATCTTTAATATTTGTATGCATGCTTCTTGATTATTTTAAGATATCTTTGCCCCTTTACTTGTCTCTGTGGGACTAATAAAAGGTATTATGATAATCCTAAAGGTATGTTTATACTTAACTGTCATTATTTAAGTAAGGAGGCATATTACCATAACATGTAACTTGTATGCATAAAAGACAATGAAAGTTACATAAAGGAGGTCATTTGACTCCTCACTCCCCCTCTGCTGTCAACTAGTGCAGCCAAAGCGTCCTGTCCTACAGGGCCCTCTGATGTACCTTCTCCTGAGCCGCGGTGGGGTCCGTGATGATCTCAGAGTCTGTGTTGATGGCGCAAGTCACCCCACAGAACAGGCAGCTCATGGGCAGGCCTGCGTCCATCAGGGCCATGCAGGCTGCGTTCAGGAAGCAGGCCAGGCGCTGAGGAACAGCTAAGGAACAACTCTCACCAGGAAACACCTTAAGGCCCCATTACAACGCCCTACTGGCAGAACGTTTTACTGAAGGATACGGAGCCGTCGTCATGGATCAGCTGGAGGACCAGGGTGAGGGAGGAGCGGGGGTGGAGGGTCAGGAGCAGAGACGCCTCACAGGTCTCTCTCACACACTGCTCCTGGGATCGCTCCCTTACACCTGGAGAATGAGGAGTTGATGGGACACATCAGACAGGAAAGTGGCTCACCCCTCCCACCTTGTGGTGGGTTTTGGAAGTGCAGCTTTTGCATAGTAGAAGAAGAAAGGTTTGTAAAAACAACAGTTACAGTCCTCCTAATGCTCCAAGAACCCCAAGAATCCTCCCCTGTTCAACTGCCAGAGCCTATACCGTGTTCCCTTTAGTGTTAACTTTCTGTCTGTCTTCTAGTGCCAATTACTCTGTTGTCCAGTGCTCTGTCTTTTAACTTTTGATATATACAGTCTATGCTTTTAACCTATTTCCTTCTGTTGAGCAGTTATTTTGTTCTTATTATATATGCTTTGTGTCTTTCTGTTTCTCGTAAGGTCTCCCTTTCTGTTGGTCGCTTGTTAGCAGACCCTTCACGCGATAGCAGAGCGAACAGGTACAGGAGGCGTAGAGCGAGGGATCATTGTCCACTAGTTAGCAGATGGCGTGGTGCTCACGGACGGATGAAAAAGAATCGGTCACAAAATATACTTTGGCGGCCGTAAATATACCTGGACGGCCCGCCCAAGTAAAGTCTATGTGTGGGAAACCCTGTATACTGTATTTTATGTATTAAAATCTTATAGGATTTAACAATTAACTGTCATTTCACTGAAATCACACTAAGGACAATGCAATATTCAAATCACACGAGTAGCAATATTTGTTACAGGCAAAAATATGTGTTAAAAATAATAATAACAACACCCAGACCATGATCAGAATACATAGACCTTTCAATGGTAATGAGTAATAATGCATACATGATCAATCCCTCCAATAAAATGAATCATATCAAAATTGCAATTTCTGCAAAAATAATCACAATTAGTCATTTTTTCCCAAACATGCAACCCCAATATCTAAGTGCTCTTCTCAAAAGTACTAAAAAATGAAGATTGCCATAATTCATCAGAACAACATTAGGCTGCATTAGACTCAGAATAAACTAAATAAATAAAGCTGCCTGATGAGAAATACAATCCTCACTTACTGGGCAGTCCCACTTTGGGCTGGATCAACACCTCCAGGGTTGCTCGGTCGTAGATTTCCTTACTGACTTTGACCTCAGCTGGTCCGTACACTGCGGCCATCACACTCGTGTCACCTTTACAAGAGGAGGAAAAACAGTATTGTTAGAGCCAGTATTTTTGTTTATAAAAAGGGCCACCTAATCGTGACGTCTGTAGTCAAGTACGTATAAAAGACTACAATTCCAACAACGCCTACTCTAAAGAGACTGGGGTTGCAGTCGAATAGTCCACAAATCAGCTCCTATCTATAACCCTATGTCTATTCCTTGACCTCTGTGTGAAACGTCACGGGGTTAAGGGATAGTGGATAGGAGAATTCAAAAGGATTTAGGAGAAGAGACTGCGGTACTTTAGAGAATCCGACTGCACTTTCACTATCCAACGTGTTTATGATGCGCCAGCGGACGTCATAAATGTGCGCCTGCTGCTGCTGTGGGGAAACTATGGAAACTACAGTTTTCTATACAGCGGACTACAACATGGATGTTTAATAAGAACGAGGGACTACTGTAAACTCATCTAGAGACTCTGCACCGTGCTCTGATGCTGTTGTTTTATGCTTTATGAACGGGGACAACAGAGAAACATATTCTTCATGACCAAAGTTGGAATTGAAATAAAAAAGGAAAGGGAAACTTATGCTCGTCACCCTCTCCCTCCGGTCCACATTAATACAAATGATCCCAATACGTATGATTGTATGAAAAGATCTTAAAATCAATACAAATGTATTTATTATAAACGTTAGTCCTTAACATCTATCACTGTGTATATCATCATTCAAACATCTTTTAAAAGTTGAACAAACCCCACACAGCTCAGTAAACACTGTGAAATGTTGACTTTATTTGATCATTTCAGTAAAAACTAACGTTCATATTTCTGTTTTTGATTATAATACTGATGAACGTTCAAAACAAAGCACTTTGGCAACTTACCACATATGTTTTAAAATGCTTAATAAGCACCGTAACTTTCATGATATCATTTCTCGTTCATAATCGGTTGTTTCCGTGAACGGCCGACTGTTGTGTGACGGCAAATGCCACGGCCGCAAGGCATTGTGGGGCAGCATTTTCTCCTTTCCTTTCGGAAGATCCAGTGGTTCCTAAGCTAAAGGAGGTTATAAAGGAAGTTTGAAACCTCCTTTCCTTTCATCTAGAGAATTTGAAAGGCTCTTATCATGGCTGCCACTGAGGTACTTCCGGGTCATTTCACTCCGTTAGGAACGTTCCTAAGCTAAACGGACTATTCGACTGCAGCCCGAGATGGTCAACATGTCGGAAAGACGCTGTCAATTCTGCTGAGGAAATATGCTCTTATAAGTTAACATTGATAGCAGAGATCAGGAAAGTTGTATTCGACCCACAGTGGGGACATTTATGACGTTGTGGCAGCAAAGGCTAAATGCAGATAAAAGACAGGAACATTTGAAAATGTACATAGCAAATAAAGAGGTAAGAACACATGTTAAAACATAAAGACAAATAAGTACACCATAGTTAAAAAATAAGTAGCAGTATTTAAAAAAAAAAAAGTAAGTGAGCAAATAAAAATATTGAAAGAGCCAGCAACATTGTACGTACATTGAAAGGGTAATTTATATACAAGTAAATATAAGTATGTTATCTGCTACTGACAGACACAACATCTCGTATACTGTACCTCTGCAAAACAGATGCACTCACTGTTTGCTGTTTTTTAACACAGCATTCGGGAAATAAATGATAAATAGGTCACAAATGGGTTACCAAAAAGGTTTAACACTTTGTGAGTAACTTAGTAAGATGTGTGATGAGCAATTCTGAAAAGTACATCATCAGTTATGTTAGTGTACATTTTACTTCATTGATTTTATTTGATGAATTAAATCAACAGTAATCTGCAATGGGGCATTCTGAATGAGGTACACTAAGTATATATTGATGCTAATATTTATGTACTTTTACTTCGGTAAGAGTTTGAAAGCAGGACTTTAACTTGTGAGTATTTCTACATGTGTAGTGTACTACTATGTTTACTAAAGAAGATATCTGAATACTGCTCCTAACACTGATGGTGGGTAATATACATATGTGCTATTGTATATGGCTGTAGTTAAGACACATTATGAATAAATAAGTACGTATAGGTTCGAGTTAGGTGCCGATACCAACTAATGGGACTTGACTGACTTGTGCACATGTGCTAAGGAGGCTAACAACAGACGGACTCCCGTCGCCTCTCACAGCCTTCTAGTTTTTTAAAACGTTACCTTGTACGAAGGAGGCTGACCCGTCCGGTCGAGACAGTAACGTTTGTTCACAGCCGAACTCCCTCAGAGAAACGTTCGTAGAGCCGCACACTTCCATCATGCTGCTACTACACTACAACCGCGTTGGAGGACTCATTTATGTTGCGGGCTAGTGACGAAATCTGTTTTGCTTCTTCTTCTTCTTCTTCTTCTCTTTTTAATGGCGGATCGCAAACAGCTTTTGGTTGCATACCGCCACCTACTGTACACGAGTGTGTATCATCATGTCACCCCTCTAATAAACCAGCATATCGAAAACATAAAACTAAGAAACCATAAAATAAATAAAACAAAACAAAAACAAAAAACAAATCATCCATGATCTATTCTAACCTACTGTTAGACTCTTTTCCCTATCCCAGTTTCCCTCAAAAAGGTGAACAGTGCCTTTCTGGTAGCTCTTACTCCTTCTCCTTCTGTTCCCAGAATACCAGCTACATTCCACTCCCTCTCTGCCTCTAAAACTTTATCCCTTAATTTTCCTCTTTCAACTCTATAGGTGACACAATGTAATAAAATATGTTCCACATTTTCCCTAACTCCACAGTTCCCACATTTGTCACTGTCACCTTTCCCCATGACATACAGCGTACCATTCAATGCAGTGTGATTTAGTCTGAGCCTAGCTATCATGATTTCCTCCCTTCTATTTCTTTCTTTATAAATATTAATTGTAATTGTCTTTTGCACTTGATAGTCTTTGCCTTTCTGGTCTTTCTCCCACCTTTTCTGCCAGATCTCCATCCCTTTCTTCTTAATTACTGCTTTTCCTTCTCCTTTTCCAAGTTTAACTGGTAATGTGATTTCCTTTTGTAGTGCACTTTTTGCTAATTTATCAGCACACTCGTTCCCTTTCACCCCCCCATGAGCACAGGCACCCAGCAGAACTGCAGATCTATGCCGCTTCTGTGAAGTCTTAACAGGCTGTGATTGATTTCTATGAGTATGTCTTCTCTGGCAGTTGTTGTTGACTGTATGCTTTGTAAACTGGATAATGAATCTGTGCATATCACCACCCTATCTGGTCTGACCTCTTCCACCTACTGTAATCCTATTACTACTGCCAGCATTTCTGCTGTATACACTGAAAGTTGGTCTGACGCTCTTTTTGATATCGATATTTTAAATTCTGGGATATATACCAATTCCGACACACTCTTCCTTGTTCTTAGAAAATCTGTTTTGCTATTTGCGGCACTCACTGATGACGTCGTTCTTCTTCTTCTTCTCTTCGTTTTTGGCGGATTGCAAACAACTTAAAAGGTGCATACCGCCACCTACTGTACATGAGTATGAATCATCATATCATTCCAACTCTTTAACCTATGATCTAATCAAAATAAATAAATAAATCAACAAAAAACATGAAATAAATAAAACAAAAATAAAAGTCTATATTCTTTCCTGACCTAATGTTAAATTATTTTTCCTACCCCAGTTTCACTCAAGAATGTAAACAGTGCCTTTCTGGTAGCTCTTACTCCCTCTCCTTTTGTTCCCAAAACACCAACCACACTCCATTCCCTCTCTGCCTCTAAAACTTTAGCCTTTAGATTTTCTCTTTCCGCTTTATAGATGTCACAATGTAACAAGATATGTTCTACATCTTCTTTTACTCCACAGTTCCCACACTTGTCACTGTCACTTTTCCCCATGATATACAGAGTACCATTCAAAGCCGTGCACTTTTTGCTAATTTATCAGCACACTCGTTCCCTTTCACCCCCTCATGTGCAGGCACCCAGCAGAACTGCAGATCTATATTCTTCACTCTGTGAAGTCTTAACAGGCTATGATTCAGTTCTATGAGAATGTCTTCTCTGGCAGTTGTTGTTGATTGTATGCTTTGTAATATGGACAATGCATCTGTGCACATCACCACCCTATTTGGTCTGACCTCTTCATCCCACTGTAATCCTATTATTACAGCAAGCATTTCTGCTGTGTACACTGATAATTGATCAGACGCTCTTTTTGAAATAGATATTTTAAAGTCTGGGATGTATATACCAACTCCAACACACTCTTCCTTGTTCTTAGAACCATCTGTGTACATTTGTAGGTAATTGTAGTACTTTTCATTCAGATACATACTTGTTTTAATTCCCACTTCATTTATTTGCCACTCTTTTTTCCTTTCTATGATACTCATATCTATTTTAGCTTCTGGGAAAAGCCATGGGGGAACACGGCTAAATGGGGTTGCTTTGGCAAACGTGATGGTCTTCACTCCATATGCCCTTGTTCTCTCCTCTCCAGCCAAACCCACGTCCCTGGAATTTTGCATATTCCCAGCAATCCTGTAATATTCTGTTTGAAATATTTTCTTCTCCACTTCCTTGTAGTCTGACCCAGTATGACAGAGCACGTTTCTCTCTTCTGATCTCCAGAGGTGTCTCTCCTGCTTCTATCAGAACTGCATTGATAGGGGATGACTTTATCGCTCCAATACACAACCGCAATGCTTTATATTGTATTCTATCCATTTTTAAAAGCGATGTTTTTGCTGCTGCTCCATACATTATACAACCATAATCTATTGTGGACCTCATAATTGATCTGTAAATGTCTATTAATGCTTGTTTGTCTGCGCCCCAGTTGCATCCAGCTACAGCTCGCAATAAATTTAATACTTTTTTGCATTTTGTTTCCACTTGATTAATATGCATTTTCCATGTATATTTGCTATCAAACCACAGTCCTAGGTATTTGAACTCATTCACCTTTGTCATTGGACGATCATATAGTGTTAGCTGTTGGCCATCAATCTTGCGTTTGTTTGTGAATACCATGTAGCATGACTTGCTTTCTGACATTTTGAATCCCCAGTTATATGACCACCTCTCCACTTTTTTAATCGCTCTAGCTATATTCTCCATTACGTATGGGCATTTCTTCCCCTCATCCAAATAGCCCCATCATCTGCGTATAGAGCCGATTGAATGCATGTGTCTGAACATGTAAATATATCATTAATCATGATGTTAAATAATATTGGACTGACTGCACTCCCTTGGGGAATACCATTTTCTATTTCAAAATAATTGGAAATATCTGCTCCAACCTTTACTCTAAATGTCCTGTCTGTTAAAAAGGCCCTTACCCAATTGTACATTCTCCCTCCAATACCCATTCTACTCAATTTGATCAGTAACCCATCCCTCCACATACAGTCATACGCCTTTTCAATGTCAAAGTACACTATTGCCATTATCTCTTTCATTTTCAATGTTTTTTCCACATCATTACTCACTCTTACTAAAGCATCTATTGTGGACCGCCCTTTACGAAATCCGCTCTGAAAACTACTCAGCAGCCCTTTCTGCTCCAGTACATGTGAGAGCCTACGGACAATGATCTTTTCCAACCATTTACATAGGTGTGATGTAAGAGCTATTGGTCTGTAGTTACTAGGGTTAGCTGTATCTTTCCCTGGCTTATTGAATGGTAGCACGACTGCTGTTTTCCACAAACTTGGCATATCTCCTTCTCTCCAGATTTTATTGAAAAGACTCAGCACCAGTCATAGTTTCCATAGGTAACCGTCTAAACATAGCATAACATAGCTGGTCTTGTCCTGGGGCTGTATATCCTGTACCTTGTAAGGCTATTTTGAGTTCTGACATTGTAAATTCCACATCAAGAGCTGACCTATTATCCTGTCTCTTCTCCTTCACGTTTTCCTTCTCTGCTAGTAACTGCTGTTTTTGCTGCCTATGAATATCACTAAGATGTTCCCCGCTATGTACTGCTGCAAGTGTCCTTCCTAACATATCTGCCTTCTCTTTATCTGTCACTGCCAGCCTCTCCCCATCAACCAAAGCTGGAATTTTAATGGATTTCCTTTTCCCACTCATCCGCTTAAACATGGACCAGACATCACCTAATTTTACTCCTCTGCCAATGGTAGAACACAATTCTCTCCATGTTCTCTTTTTTGTGTATTTGATTGTCCGTCGAGCAGCTGCCCTTTTCCTTTGATACTCTATAACATTATTTTGTGTCATGTTTTTCTTTAATTCTCTAAATGCATTATTTCGCTCTTTAATAGCCCTGCTGCATTCCTCATTCCACCATGGCACCACTTTCTTCCTACCCTTGGTTGTTGTTTTGGGTTAACTGTTCTCTGCTGCATTTAGAATATGTTGCGTTATTTGGCTTGTAATGACCTCTATGCTTCCCTCTGATGTTAGCAGGTGTACCGACTCCTCACACCATATCCTACATTTCCCCCAATCAGCTTTAGCAAAGCACCACCTGGTTATTACACTTCCTTCCTGTATATATACATTAGTATTCATTTTAGTAAGCACTGGATAATGGTCACTTCCTACTGTGGAGTTATTCAAAACAAACCATTCGCATGTATGAACCAAACAGTTTGACTCTAATGTCAGATCCAGGCATGATACTTTCCCCCTGTGTACATCTACTCTTGTGCCATGTCCATCATTAAGGCATACTAGTGTTCTTTCCTCCAGCATTTCTTCCACTATATTTCCGTTACTGTCTGTATGGTTGCTGCCCCATAGACTGTTGTGTGCATTGAAATCACCACACCAAACTTCCTTCCTATGTTTATTGCCTGCTATTTCTTTAAATATATCAGTGGTTAGATTTTTACATGGGTTGTATAAATTGATTATCCTAATGTTATCTTGTTTCCTAGGGTTGCAGATGTCCACTATAATACACTCTATATCATCAGGAGATTGCACCTCCCTATATGCCACACCATCTTTGAGAAACGTGGCACACCCTCCACCATTTTGATTATTATCTCTATCATGCCTTATACAGCTAAATCCCGGAATGACAAAGTCTAATTGAGGTCGTAACCAGGTTTCTTGCACACATATTACCTCAGGGACTACCTCTAGATCATATATATATTTCTTGAATTCTTGACCATTAGCTATGAGGCTTCTTGCGTTCCACTGTAGTATGTGCAGCACCATGATTAAGGATCTAACCCTCATCCTGATTTTCATTTTCCCCAGCTCCATTTATAGTTAGCATTGCATGTATCTGGTCTGCTTTCATATCTTTCATGTCAAGGAATTTTCCAGCTGCCTCCACAATGGCTTTGATTCTATCACTTTTCTTTTTTAACTGTAATGCAACATTTACAGTATGGCATATAAATACCACAAAATTCACCTTTTTCACTCTTAAAACATCATCATCCTCTTTACTCTTGGTGG